AGAGAGAGAGAGAGTGAGAGTGTGTGTGTGTGTGTGTGTGTGTGTGTGTGTGTGCGTGAGAGAGAGTGTGTGTGTGTGTTACTGTTTGAGTGATTGTGTGTGTGAGAGTGTGTGTGTTAGTGTGTGAGTGATTGTGAGTGTTAGTGTTTGAGTGTGTGTGTGTGTGAGAGAGTGTGTGTCTGTGTGTGTGTGTGTGTGTTGGTGTGTGAGAGTGTTAGTGTTTGAGTGTGTGTGTTAGTGTTTGAGTGATTGAGTGTGTGTGAATGTTAGTGTTTGAGTGAGTGTGTGTTAGTGTGTGAGTGATTGTGAGTGAGTGTTAGTGTTTGTGTGATTGTGAGTGTTAGTGTTTGAGTGTGTGTGTGTGTGTGTTAGTGTTTGAGTGAGTGTGTGAGTGCTTGTGAGTGTGTGTGTGTGTGTTAGTGTTTGAGTAAATGTAATGCTTGATTTATTTCTCATGTTGAAGTTTCTAGGGCTGATGTTCATGTTATTTCAGACAGACGCTCACTCTCACCATCTGTTGGTGACGTGTTTGTGGACAGCAGTGTTTGGTTTTCTGTGTCTGTTGCAATTGCTGCAGCAGTTTGTCATTTGCCATTATTTTTATGATGTGCTAATCATTCAGATGCTAGAATATGGCAGTCCTGTGATGGTAGACGGCAAAAGGAGCTAGGGTTAGGTTCTCTTCACATGTATTCATACTCATTCACTCATACATTCACTAGAGATCCATTGATTAATATTTCCATATGCTGGTAAAGCTGTTGTGTTCCTGTGATCACGTCTTACTCTGATTTATTCATTCCTGTTTCTCACTGAATGGATGTTATCTGAGAAGAGCTGATGAAGGATGAGTGTCTGGTCTCTGTCGCAGTGCATTAATGAACGCTACTCCATCCGGGTCACATGACCTCTCGGGATGCCAGTCAGACGTCAGTGGAATCTCCTTGAAGTCGTGAGAAGAGGCTGGGTTGAGACGAAATCTCCAGCTCTCACAGCAGACCAGCGATCCACGTAAGAAAAGGCCAGCAGCTCCATCATGAGTGGAGACTGCTTTCACATTAATTTAAAGGGGTCATATGATGCGATTTAAATTTTTCCTTTCTCTTTGGAGTGTTACAAGCTCTTGGTACATAAAGAAGATCTGTAAAGTTGCAAAGACTAAAGTCTCAAATCCAGAGATATTCTTTATAAAAGTTAAGAGTCAACCACGCCTACCTAAAACGTCTCGTTCTAACACGCCCCCACATGTCTACATCACTATGTGGGAAGATTTGCATAACGCCGCCCAAATGTTCACGCAAAGAAAGAAGGCGTAACTGAGTGTTTGAAATAAATCCTTCTGTGAGATGATGTGGCTTCTTACACAGAATAAGGCACGCAGCATATTTCATAGTATTTAAGCAGTGATAAAGGCATTGCATTATAAATATACTTTATTTTAATGAAAATTATAATAATAAGTAAGTAGTTGTGTGTTTATTAGTCACGTTGAATCAATGAAAGCAGTTGAATCTTCTGTTTATTCAGCTGCAGCGATAGGCATTTTCTGGGTTTCTTCTGCGAGGCGTATTTGGAGTTTCACCGCGAGAGCGCCCTCTGGCCTTTGGATGGAGATTTACTGCTGATCACAGAACCGTGCTTCACTGAAAGATACGCATGACAATCAGCTTCTGTCGAATCGCAATCTCGATTCCATTTCAATTTATCGTGCAGCCCTAAGTATAAGTCATTATAATCAGTAATTATGTCCCCACTGGATGCAACGAATGCCTCGTTTGTAATGGGTTTTAATGTTTTTGTCTCGTCGCTCCGGCCGGACAGGGCATCATCACAGTATGGTGAGGGGCGTAACATTTCCGTCTCACGCTTGAGGTATTTGGCCAATCACAACGCACTGGATAGCTGGCCAATCACAGCACACCTCGCTTTTCAGAAATCGATGCGTTTCAGAAAGGCGGGGCATAGAGGAGAAACAATAATGTACAGTATGTGGAAAATAATGTGTTTTTTGAACCTTAAACCGCATAAACACATTGCATTACCCCAAATACACAACTTTTTAGCAGCATCATATGACCCCTTTAATGAACAATCAATTCAATATAGCTAGAGTTAATTTCAGACAAAATCTTTTAACTTACATTCTACCCAAGAACAAAATGTGATTGTTTTGAGTCAATGAGTTTTAAGCTCATTATTTAAGTTTTAAGCTTTATTATTTAATAAAGTAAATAATACTTTATTTAAATAGTGTTTTACTTCAAGCTTGAGTCAAGTTCAGATTCCTAAATACAGATTTCCACAACGAGCTTTTATAAGTGGCTGTTTCAGCCATGACAAAATTACTTATGTATTCATGAGGACAATTGTGTTTAATAACATAAATATCGATATCCTCTATCCACCTTTTTCTTCAAAGACTTCCGGTTCATTCGCCGCTGTAGGAAAATAACGAGAAGAATTACAACATGCAGTAAACGCTAAAACTGTGTGCACTACAAACCAGTGTGTTCATAATTAAGATAATACATTAAAATAATATGGTAAGACTCACCAATTTTCAATATCGAGCAGCAAAACGAGCTGTTTCTTGATTGACAACCGTGAGATTTAAATGTGAAATTGAATCTGAAAAATGTGAAGATTGACCGTGATAATCACACATCTGATACTGTATATGAGAAAAGATCTGCTTGGAGTGTAAATATATTATTGCATTTATTCCGTATTCTGCTTGTGTTTCTTTGTTCTTCATGTTTTTCTTTTGTTCTTCAAAGAAACACATGCAGTTGTTCCTTTTGTAGGAAGATTGCACTTTTTGTATAACTTTGATATTTTTATATTTCATTTCATATGTTCATCTCACACACACACACACACACACACACACACACACATATGTATGTATGTATGTATGCTTGTACCTTTAAGTAAATGTGATTTTAGTTTTTTTGTGCTCATGTAGTATAAAGCAGTAAGTGGTCATCATGTGTAGATTATCATTATTTTGCAGTAAACAATTTGCTGTTCTATCCAGATCATGTCTTTTTCATGAGAGGCAAAAAAAATCACCTTTTTACATTTGTCAAGAGCAAAAATTCGAGTATCATCGAGTATCATCAAAATTTGGAAAAACATCAAGATAGTAAATGGGCTCATGCATCATAATCAAATGAATACAGCGACCAAGTTGCTGACGTCACCTTTCCTGCTGGCAGTCCGCGTCTGACCACGCCCATTTCAAGGCTGCTTTATCTGTCAATCAACGCCAGGCCACGCCCGCCTCAACTACGTTCTTTCTGTCAATCACCGCCAGGCCACGCCTTCCCCGTGCTTCTTCTTACACAAACAGCAGCAGCTCGAGAGAGTAAATAGAGAAAAGATGGCGGAGTTCTTTCAGCTCAACAAACCCACCGAACCGAAACCAGCGTCCCAGAACCGGGAGCACCATCATCATCCTCCACCGGCCAAAAAAATCCGACACGAAGAGAAAATATTTAAAGCCAAGAAGATGAACGGAGGCACGGAGCAGCAGAATTACAGCAGCAAACCGAAAAACAAGAAAACCAAAACAGAGAAAGACAGAGACCGAGAGAAAGAGAAAGAGAGGAAGAAACACAAACTGGCGGCTGAAAATCACCTCAGTGTGAAGAAGGAGAACGGAGAGCTGAAGCTGTCGCAGAAAGGTATCGCTAGTCGCTTCGCCGCCGCCGCTCGGGCGCTGTTTGCGGCTGATAACGGGCCGCTGCTTCGCTAGCTGTGATCGGTGCGAGTGTGTGAGAGTGTATGATGTGTTTATTGTGCTCGTGGATGAGTGCGTATGTGTTTATTTGCGTGGAAAACACCGACAGCGCGAGCTAGTTAGCTTAGCATCGGTGAGGCGTGTGCAGCTGCAATGTGACCCGTCGCAGACGCGCGTTATTACCGCGGAATAGCATCATGATAATATCTGCTGTCGTTATAATAGCGTCATAACATCTCCTGTGTTACCGCACAGAGACGCCGACATCGGCAAACATAATAATATCCAATAATAAATGCGTCTTTTTATATTGAAGTGTCAATTTAGTCTGTAGGACGGCAGAATAATAGCTCGTATTAATAAAAACAGTAATCGAAATATCTGCTGTCATTCCTGAGATGTCTATCGGACACCAGAACATCACGATTATAATGACTGCTGTATTACTGCTGGAATCTCAGTAATAACACTCGCTCTGTGATCGGAGAACATTGATTTACGGCGGAAAACACGATACAGTCATATACAGCGATCTTCTGTTCCTCTAATAAATATGTGCTGTTCTCCGAGTTATACTGTGAGCTTCACTGTGTTGAACTGTTGTGTGTTATTTACTGTTTGTGTCAGGCCTGTTACTCCCACATGAGATTAATAAACACTAATAAAGTAGTAACCCATCTGTCATAACACAACTGATATGAAAACATCAGCACAAAAGCCACATTCATTAAAGATGCACTGTTGGTTGCCTGTCCTACAGATGCTTACCTAACACTAACCCACCAACTCCTACTAACTCACACTAACTCCTACTAACTCACCAACTCCTACTAACTCACACTAACTCCTACTAACTCACCCTAACTCCTACTAACTCACCCTAACTCCTACTAACTCACCCTAACTCCACTAACTCACACTAACTCCTACTAACTCACCGACTCTCCTACTAACTCACCAACTCCTACTAACTCACCAACTCACCCTAACTCCTACTAACTCACCCTAACTCCTACTAACTCACCAACTCCTACTAACGCACCCTAACTCCACTAACTCACCCTAACTCCTACTAACTCACCCTAACGCCTACTAACTCACCCTAACGCCTACTAACTCACTCTAACTCCTACTAACTCACACTAACTCCTCCTAACTCACCCCAACTCCTACTAACTCACACTAACTCCTACTAACTCACACTAACTCCTACTGACTCACCCCAACTCCTACTGACTCACCCTAACTCCACTAACTCACCCAAACATGATCAAGCCGTCATTTGCTCGCCTTCACATCATTCCTAACCTGTATGACTGACTTTCTGGATCATTAAAGAAGATATTTAGAAAAATGTCAATAAAGTGAAGGTCAGATAGGTGCAGTGGTTACTTTCACTGTATTAACAAAAGCAGTTCTTCAGAATCTTTTCTTTTGTGTTCTGCAGAAGAAAGAAAGTCCTACGGGTCAGGATCGACACGAGGGAGCGTTAATAATGACAGAATGATAATTTTTCATTGTCTCTGTTTACCTGCTTCCACAACAGTATGTTTAGTGTTTTATAATCATATTTTCATTCGTTTCACAATCTGTGCAGTTGGTCTTCATGATAACTCATGATTTTACCCTGGCACCTTGCAGCTTGTTGATGTACATGAAGGTCAGCGCAAACCGTCCTCGTGAACGTGATGTGTGTTTGTACGAGGATCGTGACCCTCATGAAGCCTGTTCAGAATGTGTTCAGGATACAAAGGACCTAAATTAAAGAAAATAAAGCTTCTTTTTAGGGCTGTTCAAACCTTATTTTTCATGACAGTATATACTTTGAAATATATAAAGTATATATTTATTTATAATATATATGAAAATATACTTTGAGAACCTGTTGGGGAATGTGACTACTAGTTAAAGGGGTCATATGATGCTTTTTTTAAATATCAATTATGCTAATATTCCCACATAGTGAGGTAGATATGTGGGGGCGTGTTAGAACGGGCCGTTTTAGGGGGGTGTGGCAGAGTCTTAACTTTGATAAAGAATATCTCTTTGGTTTTGAGACTTTAGTCTTTGCAACTTCAGGGATCTTATCTATGCACAATCAGCTTGTAACACTCCAAAGAGAAAGGAAAACTTGAAATCGCATCATATGACCCCTTTAAAGACGTGAGCTGGTAAATTCACAAACTTTCAACATTGTGTCTCTGAGCAGGCTGTCGTTCACACGCGTAACCCTCTGTACGGAGCTTTAGTCCAGGAACCAGAGAAACCTGACATCTGAATGCTTTGGTTTCTTTTAACCGTCCAATGTGTTTCTTCCTCCTACAGATCACACTATCAAAGACAAAGAGAAACAGAGAGACAGAGACGGCGAGAAGAAGAGAGAGAGAGAGAAGGACAGAGAAAAAGAGCAGGAGAAAGAGATGAAGGAGAAAAGAAAACATAAGCTGATGATGGAGATGAAGAGAGAGAATGGAGAGGTGAAGATCCTGGAGAAAGGTGAGCGATCTGTCAATCATAATTCACAACACTCACGTTCACCTGTGTTTCACCTCTGACCTCACATGCATTTGGAAACTCGGGTTCACTTCTTGACATGCACATCATTTATAATTGTAATAATTAGAATGTATTCTTAAAATATGTTGGGTTCCTAAACAGAGCTTTAGACAGATGCTGGTCACTAAAAGACATCTGAGAAAGAGTGAACCTGCTCAAAAACACTGTTTCTGCTGGCAGCAGATGGGTAACAACCGGCCCTCACCGGCCCTTGGAATCGTCCTAACCTCCCCCCCGGCACGGCACCCCTGGGCTCCAGAATTAAAACTGACCGACCAGATTGTTTGCAAATGTGATGATTTAATATTTAACTCGCTTAGGCAGTGAATCGTTCAGAGTTATTACTGACTCACTCACTGAACCGCGAGTCGTTTTAGGTTTGAGTCTGATTCTAAATAAAGCAGGAAGTGTTTGTGACGTACATTCAAAGTCACTTTACTGACTTGATCATATGACAGTGAGCAAAGATCTACGTTCACCATTTATAATCAGTTAATAATGATGATGTTATAAAATATTTAGCATATGGGATCCACTTGTAAGATTGAATCGACTGTGTTTGGGTAATGTGTTGAACCGTTTAAAAAAAAATAATTTTTCCAAGCAATCAGAAATATTCTTTAAAACAGTGATATTTACATTGCACAAATGCAGTCAGAATCACTAAAGTCAGTGTTTTCATCACGTCAGCTGCTAAACTCTCATCTGTGCCTCTTCATTTATGGAAACAAAGTTATTTTTCACTGTCGCCCCTAGATTGTGTTTAACACACACGATTGTTTGTGCACAACTGATGACTAAACTAACTAATCATGTCACATCATTAATGAAAGTAGCGCGTTAGTTACATGTTGTTTTTGCATCTCAATTTGTATTCACATGACAAAAAATACTATGTTTGTCTCACCATATAGTGAGTCTCATTAAAGAATTTAATGAAATAGAAGTAGATAAGTCATTAGTCAATAGTAAGTTGATAAGAAGAGCATTAATAAACTGTTGGAGACACAGTGGTGACAGACGGACTCATTCGACTCGTATTACTGTGCGTCAGTTTAGTTTTGATGACAGAACGTGATGTTTTCCTGCATCTGCTCGTCTCTGTAGTGAGTTTGTGTCCGGTGAGTGTGTTCATGGTCAAAGCGGATGGATAGTCGGCCATCGGGGTCAGTTAGATTGTCCGTTTCTGTATTTGTTCTATTAGTGTCTATTATTTGTGACCCTGGAGCACAAAACCAGTCATAAGGGTCAATTTCCTGAAATTGAGATTTATACATCATAATAAATTAATAAATAATTTTTCCATTGATGTATGGTTTGTTAGGATAGGACAATATTTGGCTGAGATACAACTATTTGAAAATCTGGAATCTGAGGGTGCAAAAAAATCTAAATATTGAGAAAATCATCTTTAAAGTTGTTCAAATGAAGTTCTTAGCAATGCATATTACTAATCAAAAATTAAGTTTTGATATATTTACGGTAGGAAATTTACAAAATATCTTCATGGAACATGATCTTTACTTAATGTCCTAATGATTTTTGGCATAAAAGAAAAATGTATAATTTTGACCCATACAATGTATTGTTGGCTATTGCTACAAATATACCCCAGCGACTTAACACTGCTTTTGTGCTGCAGGGTCACATGTGTGATGCTGGTGGACGTGTGTGATAATTGTTACAGAGTTTTTGCTAGTTGTCTCTGAATGAGTGCTCAACTAGCGGATTTACTCAAACATCAGTCGTGACTAACAGAAGCTCACGTCTCACAGACGTCTCACCTATAAGGCTGATTTATACTTCTGCGTCGAAACTACGCCGTAGCCTGATGTGCACCTCTCCAAAAGTGTCACAGTGTGTCAAATCTACGCGGACCGCGAGCGCTGTGATTGGTCTGCTAGGACCCCTCCCTCCATATGTGTTTGAGTTTTGTGTGTGTGTTTTGCACTTTAATATATTTTAATGTTACACCTTCTTATTTAAAATAAACAAATCAAAGAACAAGTGTCTTATCATTTATTATACAACATAGCATTATACATCACTTAGTTGTCCATTACAAACAATGTTGTTTTGCCATGGTACAAGTCCTTGTGAAGATTTAAAGAGTGCCATCTTCTCCTGTTCCGTTGTCGTCTCCTTTTTTGTAGTTTTAAATAAATTATCTTGTTGTCAGAAGACCCAGTACTTCGGTACCAAGTCGGTACTAAAAAAATAAAAACGTTACGGTACCAGC